TGAAACATCCGGGACTGCATAAAATACTGCCCCAAATATTTTCAAACGTCTTTTGAAACCAATAGGAAACTGAATACTCAAACTTCTGATACATAACCATCCAATTGAGTCTATAATTACTGATTGGAATCAATTTGCCAGAAATGGCACCGATTTGTGTGTTGGAGATGGCCCTGTCTATTATGTTGAAAATAGATTTCGGGGGATAACTGGTGTCCCCGTCCAGTGCTATCACTATTACGTCCGATGCACTCAACCGCTGTGTCTTCACATAAGTCTTAACCAAATTCATGTACATTACTTGAGACCACCGTTTGCCTACAATTGTAACATTCAAATATGTAATTACTATATGTTTTAGTAAAAAATGCTAACAATTACTAACAAAACATTAATTTTGTTTCATATTTAATTGATTTTTAAAATCATAATTGCTTTTTAAATGTATTTAAATAGAGAAAATAGTCTTATAAACAGTTTTCGCGTTCAAATGAACTGATAATTTCCGGAGTGACCGATATTTGTGTATTGAAACAAAATCTATTAGTTTTCAAAATGAGTTTTCAATTTTCCATTCATTGAGAAAATCATTTTAAAAACAATTTTTTAATTAACTTCTGACAGAAACTAAATGAATTAGTTTCTGATGTGTCAGCTTATAATCAATTAAACTTTGATTCCCATAAATATTTTAATTCATATTTCAAATACTTATTTCAATAGAAAATGCTTTTTTTGATTATAAATTATAATCTCTTGTGACGGATAGCATAACAAAAATATTAATTATCGTCTAAAAGGAAATAAAAAACAAGATTTCAAATCAACGAAATAGCAGTCATTTTTGTAAGACTAAAAACTTATTGACTGAAAAAATTGATACCTTTCCGAATGAAATTACGGTTTTTCAAGTGAACCACCAGTTTGTAGTCCTGTACCAAATTCAAATGGATTTGTTGGCCATAAGGTGTGTCCATCATTGAGAAATTGATGCTCTCGTAACCAAACTCATAATTAGTCTGTTTTGTCAAATCTATCAGACTTTTCACATAGGAATTGATAGTAAAACATGTAGGAGTTGTCGGAGAAGAGCTTAGAGGAGGACTTGGGTCCACACGTGAAGGGTACGTGTGAGACACTGCCCTCCAGGATAAAGGTGACCAAAGAGGAGCACGACCAGTTGGGTAATGTGATCCGGGTATGTGAGGGCAATATTGTGGTGAACAAGTGCGAGGGCACGTGTCTCTCGCACTTGAAGCCCAGTATCACCACAGCTACCGGTTTCCTCAAGGTATTAAAGGTATTCAGTTTTGGATACAAATCTCTTATAATGTATTGTAATCTGTATTTAATTATTGTTTCAAACGGTTAAGGAATGCCTTTGTTGTCGAGAGAGTCATATGAAGCCAAAAGAAGTTCATTTGACGGACTGTTTTGATTTGGACGGCAAGAAACTGTCCGATACTATGACGGTGTCGATGACGGAGCCCACGGACTGTAGTTGTCATAAATGTGGTCAATAAGTGACCACACAATCCATTATAATATTTATATTTGTCTCAATCATTGAAGATTTAATATAAATGTTTCTTAATTGAAGATTTCTTAATGTTTTAAAAATTATTATATATTTATATTACTAATAAAAATACATTTAAATTTAAATTATCATATCTAATCTATAATATTATTAAAACTGTATTAAACATTTTCTAACATTTATATTTAAATTATTTATTAAAAATTTAATATAAACTAAATTATTAATTAAAAGTAAAACAATTTTTGTAATTTATAACATTAATATAATATATGACAATTTATTAATAAAAGTATACAAAATTACATTATGCCTTGTTTATTTTATAATTATTAAGCCAAGAAGTAAGTTACTAATAATACGGTAATATTATATTTATATTATATTATAAATATGTTGACTTTAAATATAGTGTTAAAAGTGATTTATTTAATGATTATTGTTCAAACATTGAAATGTAATAATAATAATTATAATTATGATATACTTATTAAAACAAAGGTTTCTAATACAAAGGTCATTTAGCAAAAGCCATGTCTGGTTTAATGCATTAGTTTGCTAACCAATAGCCACAACCAAAGCATCAATTATAGCATAATAACCCTCATATTAATAAGACTTCGCAGTCGATGCTATAAATCACCCGTCGATTGACTAAAATCTCTACTTAACTCTAATAATACTAATTAAATAAATCACAAACAATACTAACAAATGGCATCAAAACATAGTCGTCTGGAATTCAAGATCAGTGTATATTTGGTCACTACCACGACCTCAGAGGCAAACTTTCACACATCTCTTCATTTCAAATCTGATATCATTTTTAATTTCTATATTAATTATGTGTTTAAAAATAGCACTCATTTTAATTATATTTATATACAAAGTCTGTCACTGTAGTAAAGAAGAGTGTCATCTCAGACCAGTCATCCATGTCCTCAAACACGCCGGTTGTGTCCCCAAACCTATTCCATCGTTTGCTTGTTATGGTACCTGTTCCTCATATGTCCAGGTACAGTCCAGTACAGTACAGTATATTATATCTTATATTATGTCTGAAATGATTTCTAATTATAATTCATCTTGTTGGATAGGTGTCGGGGTCCAAGTTTTGGCAGGTGGAGCGCTCCTGTATGTGCTGTCAAGAGATGGGCGAAAGGGAGGCATCCATTGCCATATTCTGTCCAAAACAAATCCCACGATTCCGTAAAGTGAGATATTTTTTCTGTTTACTGTTTTGTCAATTCATTCAATAAATTATATAAACATTTTTATGAATTCATTATTTTAATATTAAACAAATACTAATAAGCATATTTTTAGTTTTAATAAATAACTTGACAATATATTTTAGTATAAAGTAATCATAAATAAGATATAAGCAATATAAGTTATGAATGGAATTACAGAAAAATATAATTATTATTATAAACACTACATTTATATTTTAATTAAATAATTATTTTATTATGATTAAAAATATATACAATTCTATATAAATCTTTAGTTATTCAACAAATCATTTAATATATTTAAAATCAATTGAGTTCAACACTAAAATAGATTATATTCCCTAAACTCTTTAAAGTCGTGTTATTCATAGAAAATTGCAATCATTTGATATACAGTACAGTATTTTACAGTATAATTAATTATTTAATTACATTGAATACAAATAGAAAACTATTTTTAAAAATAATTATAATAAATATATAAATATTTACAATGACTTTATTTTTTATTATTGTGCAAATATAATATTTGTTTACGGATTTTATTTTTATCTTATTTTAACACTATTTATGATGAATTTTCTCATTGCGGATATTGTTTGCAAAACAAATCTTTTAATGAAAACTGCATTTTAAAGAGTTTTGTTATTCAGGATATAATAAACATATATTAGTAGTAATGTTGTGATTGTATTCAATTGCATTAATTTTCTATTGCTTTATTGAAACTTCTTAATACTGTATATAAATAGTTATCTATTAATATATTTTTCTATATAACATAATAAATGATCGATTTCAATTGATAAATATATAAATAAAGCTATGATTGCAAACATTGTAATAAATGAATATTGAAACCTTTTATAAGTCTATTAAACAATTATTAAATAAATTGTCTAAAGATCCAGACGCGAGCCCCAGTGGAGTGTATGTGTCGGCCCTGTACTGGGATTGACGAGAATGCGGTCCAACCCCAAGAAATCATCAATTTGACACCAAAACAACAGCAAATTGACTATGATGACACACCGACAGTTTAACTGCCACTAAATTTACTCATCAACATTATTTTAAATGTCTGTGTATTGTATTTGTGATGACTAGTTATAAGTGTAAGAATAAGATTGAAATATTATTATATGTTTTGTCATTTATATGTAATGTTTTAAAAAACAAATAAAGTCATTTAATATGTAATTGATTTAAGCATTAATATTATTCAAACGAGAAGTTTTATAAATAAGACCTGGAACAATAAGTGCTAGAAATTTTAGAAATACTAGTACTCTTAATATAATTTATTTTAAACAGTATAATTTAGCTATTTGTTGATATACTGAATCATATCCGGTTATTATCAAGTCATATATAATATTTTGGGACAAAACAATAAATAAATAAAATTTATAAATTATTATAATAACTATGAATTTATTAACTATTTTATAATATATTTGATTTTAAGCTCATACATGTCTAATAATACTAATTAATTGATATTCATAAAACTTCACTATGTTATAAATATTAAAATTGTGTAATATTTTCTGAGTATTTAGTGTCATAAATTGGTGTTACTTTATTTAAAATAAGGCTTTCCTGACTATAATTTAGTGGTGGGCTATCGCTAACATAGTCCCACATCACTCGATACCTGTGCACTACGAGGGAAAGGGATTGGAAGACAAAAAAGAAGGACAATATGATAAAGACAGCCAAACCCGTGGGTTCAACATTGAGGTTATAATTGACTAAAGGTATGCTTATTGTAACCATTTGTTTGTCCACAATTAACTGAATTAAAATAAGCGTCAAAATAAACGAGAAATTAATGACTAACAACACAAACGTGTATTTGTTTCGCTGTTTTGTCATCAATTTGAGACGAAATCTTTTCATGTCTTCACTCTGACTATTGTCTTGATTTGGATTTAAGACACCGCTTTCGGATGTGACTAAACCTTCCCAGAGATCTCTTTCTATTGCTGTTAAATGCCATTCTTTGAACTCATACTGAGAGTCAATGGGACAGTCATTTTGATAATCTGAATGACTGTCGGGTGGGTTGTCCGGTGGTATAGCTTTCTCTCTCGTGCCCCACGAAACCACATTCATATTGATGAGGGAATATAAGGGTAGGAGCATATGCATGAGTGGCCCTGCTGCATAGTATATAAGCGCCGGTATTATAGTGACCGACATATGGAGATCACCGGGATGTAAGAGTACTACTATTGTAAATACAACACAAACGGCCATAAATATGACAAATGTCGGGGAATGATAGCTATCTGTCACGAACTGATATATGGTTGTAATCAATACGGCAATCATTGTTAACCCATAGACTGCGCCCAAAATTTTCATTACAATTATTTGAATGTTGTTTTGTGCAAAATAGCAGATTAAACAGTAAATTATAAAAACAGTTAAATTGATTGAAAAGCCAACCAATTCACTGATAGGAAAGGCAGAATTATAAACACCCGCCAACATTAGGCAAACACTGGCCGGAGTTATGATAGAAATGAGGAATATTCCCGAATGAAAGCCTATGAAAAGCCACGAAACACTTGGACTGTGTTTTGTCACGTCTTTACTGATCAAAATGAGGTGCAAATTGTTAATCATTGTCGACGCTATCCACCGAAGTCTCTGTTTGATGTACTCATCCATTGTGGTGGGACTGTGTGTATATGCTATGGCATTGGGACAGTACTCTATGAGCCAACCTTTTGTTAGAGAATTTATCAATTATTGAAAATTCTTGATTAATGTATTGTTATGACAGACCAGTCTTCATGAGTAGAGTGGTTAGCCACCGGTCTTCACCTGTTAATCAATATAAATAACTCTATAAATATATTGTTTGTATTGTCTACTGTGTATGAAATGTATATAAATGTATGAATTGTATGCAAACCCTGTCCGTAAAGAATTTGCGTGAAAGCGTCGTAAGATTTAGTGGAGTACTCGGCCATGACTTCAAAGATAGCATCGGCTCGATATAGAGTGAAACATCCGGGACTGCATAAAATACTGCCCCAAATATTTTCAAACGTCTTTTGAAACCAATAGGAAACTGAATACTCAAACTTCTGATACATAACCATCCAATTGAGTCTATAATTACTGATTGGGATCAATTTGCCAGAAATGGCACCGATTTGTGTGTTTGCGATGGCCCTGTCTATTATGTTGAAAATAGATTTCGGGGGATAACTGGTGTCCCCGTCCAGTGCTATCACTATAACGTCCGATGCGCTCAAGCGCTGTGTCTTCACATAAGTCTTCACCAAATTCATATACATTACTTGAGACCACCGTTTGCCTACAATTGTAACATTCAAATATGTAATTACTATATGTTTTAGTTTCCATACCATCAGCAAAATGCTAACAATTACTAACAAAACATTAATTTTGTTTCATATTTAATTGATTTTTAAAATCATAATTGCTTTTTAAATGTATTTAAATAGAGAGAATAATCTTATAAACAGTTTTCGCGTTCAAATGAACTGATAATTTCCGGAGTGACCGATATTTGTGTATTGAAACAAAATCTATTAGTTTTCAAAATGAGTTTTCAATTTTCCATTCATTGAGAAAATCTTTTTAAAAACAATTTTTTAATTAACTTCTGACAGAAATTAAATGAATTAGTTTCTGATGTGTCAGCTTATAATCAATTAAACTTTGATTGCCATAAATATTTTAATTCATATTTCAAATACTTTTTTCAATAGAAAATGCTTTTTTTGATTATAAATTATAATCTCTTGTGACGGATAGCATAACAAAAATATTAATTATCGTCTAAAAGGAAATAAAAAACAAGATTTCAAATCAACGAAATAGCAGTGATTTTCTGTAAGACTTATTGACTGAAAAAATTGATACCTTTCCGAATGAAATTACGGTTTTTCAAGTGAACGACCAGTTTGTAGTCCTGTACCAAATTAAAATGGATTTGTTGGCCATAAGGTGTGTCCATCATTGAGAAATTGATGCTCTCGTAACCAAACTCATAATTAGTCTGTTTTGTCAAATCTATCAGACTTTTCACATAGGAATTGATAGTAAAACATGTATTTCCGTTAACATCGATGCCTTCATCAAAGGCATCATCAATGAAAATATGTGTTTGAAAGCTATAATTGAGACCAAGTTGTTGGTGATCACGGAAGAGGTTGAACAGTGAGCCCATGAGCGCCTGCATCTCGTGGTGCTCTTCGTGCCACATCGTTGGGCACAAGAATATCGTGTATTTCTTATCATAAATGTCACCCCATTTGGTACATCTCAGACCCGAATGAATCGACGGAATGTGTAATAAGTTGTCATTTGTTTGAAAATGGTTTGAAATCATTTGTAAACCGTTTGCAATATATTCCGTGTTATAAACGGTTAACACAAATGATATAAACATGACTGAAGACAATGCGATTAAAATATAGATTGAATTCTCGCTATTCATGTCATATAAGTTGACGAAAACTAAGTATGAGATCTGAGGTATGCGCTCACAATTGGTTTTGTATTTGAAATGATAGGTTAGGAATACAATGAATATGACTATCGGTGCCACTGTCAGCGCAAACAAGTAGGTAAACATTCTTCTGGAAGGGATTTTTGAGATGATCTGTTCACTCAAGTGACCACTTATTACACATGAGATCACATTTAATGCAATTATATAAATGGGAAGAATTGAAATCATTTCATGACTTTCATGCGATTCACTTGTTTTGTTGAATATGTTTTCATTTAAGTAGTTTGACTCAAATAAATTGTTTATATTGAAATCCCAGTGCATATCGGCATTGAATGCAATAAATAATGAAATTATGGCAAATGTAAGCACTATTTTCCAGAGTGAAACTATTGTGCGGCAAATCTCGTTGCCTTGCTCACTTATGTTATCCCTTGCTTTAGACAGTCTTGCAATTAGTTTAATCGGAGAGTCGGAGTGGACATAATCGGGCCATGAATTTATTGACACCATATATACAGACAAAGGTATCATCCAATAGTCACCTCTTTTATTGTCTAAAAATACAATTAAAGTCCAAATAATGATTGACAAGAGTTGGCCCAACAAACAGAATATAATTGAAGTCTTTTCTCGTTTTCTTAAATATAATTTTTTGTCA